TTTGTTTTATATCAACTACGCAGAAGCTGCTGATTTTCCATCCCTACCGTACCATGAAGCTGCTGCTGAAGTATACTCCTCGAGAATGAAAACTTGCCTTGAAAAATGAAATCTTTTTAGAACGATCGGGAAGCTTTGAAACTGCGGAACTACGTGCGCATTATTTTCGTCTCGCATTTTAAAACTTTTCACACCTGCTTGAATTGCAGCCTTCCAACACCAACGCCTTTGTCAACGCGATTTCGATTCGCTCGGTCCCCTTGTTATGAAATAATTAGAGCCAGATTTTGACAAAGTGAATGGGTGAGAGCAATCAAATACTATAATCCTGAGAGCTCTGCACTCGAAACACTCACTCTGCAGCACGTGAGGCCGCATCTCATTCTTCCCACAGGGTATAGGAGGAGAAAAAACCTTTTTTCTCCCCTACACTGTGGGAAGATTTTTGTGGGAAAAAGATTTTTTGCTTTTCAACGGTATAGTTTTCTTACTTTCAGCACATGGTTGCTTTAACACACATACAAACACTAACTACAAGTAGGCCATTTCTCAGGACAATTTTGGTCTAAAACAAGGAAAATTTAAAAAGATTTCTCCTTTACCCAGCCTGGGGGAAGGATAGGATACGGCCCCTGAATGGGGAACAACTGGGTCTGCCTATTTTTTTACACCTCGTTGAACTTTATACGTCTTTTTCAGCAGAATTAGTGGAAGACATTGGTCGAGTTCAACATGCCAGCTGCTAAATGATACACTAAAATTAAAGCTATTGGGAGAGAAAATAGCTTTTTGTCAGAATTCTAGTGTTATGGGCAGAAAATGAAAGCAGAAAAAGTTCATAGAGCAATCATTCAAAATGAAATAGCACTAAAAACTTACACGACCTACCGCAGAGAAGAAAAACAACAATTAATCACTCACCAATTGGCTTGGTTCTTACGTACTGCCACGCTCTTTTGGTTGAGCAATGTGTTTCGGGAGCAGTCGGATCTTGGCACACTGTGACTTGGATCTGAGAATAGAACCTATATTTCTCGGAAGAAAATTAATCAGAAGCTGATTTTGTAGAGTATAAACATACAAAATAGCGTGTGTAATGTTTGAGTCCTTTGATCACAAACGAGGTCGCCGTGACGTTAACAGTTATCGCATCGTTCTTCGTTGCCTCAGTCAACGCCTAAATCACATTTTCATTTTGTTGGACAAAATATGTGAGACGTTTCTGCCCCTTTTGAGGTGGGACACTTTTGAACTAGATTGGTAAGACATGGTGAACTTCTAGAGAAATTTCGAAAAACCTTATTACTCTCTTTTCACGTACCTCTAAATTCAACCCCACTAATTCATCCCATTAATACTACAGGGAAACGTGCCCTTGAATAAAAATTGAAACTTTAGATTGAAACAGAAGAAAACACCCACAAGTGCATTCCTCTTGGGGTCAATTGCAGCTTTTATCTCTGGCTTGACGCTATAGCCATCCTTTGGACGTGTAGAAGCAGTGATGGCACGACGTTTTCGAGCAGCTTCTCTCCTGTAACACGAACATAATTTATTAAATAAGTAGCTAAAAACAATATCACAGTACCATTGAGAAATTGGAAAGAAAATTTTGAGGAGCTTAAAGTGATAAAAGGTACGAACAAGCATCTTCACCAACAACGACGAACTTAGACGATCCTCTCTTCGAAATAATATGTACTAATCAGAGTGGAGCCTGACGATCCTACGATTTCGCGATTCGTATAGAGTGCTATACCGTCTAGAGTAGATCCAAAACAACCGCTGTTATTCGAAGTCTGGGTTCACTTAAACCCATGAGACGGTAGAAAACACTGCACAACCACCACAACGAAGAAAAAACGCTGACGTAGAGAGCAAAAGAAGAAGAATAAGGTAAGTGGACGAACTTCGCAAAGCCAGCATAAGCAGGGTGATCTATGAATCGCACGTACAGGCAGAGTTCATTGGTGCGCGTAACGTCAGGAATAGGTGACGGACAGTACCGCGGAGCTGAGGCGGACGTACTATGATGCCTAGTGATCCAAGTCTTTCTAGGCTGGCGAATCAAACCTCATCTTCTAAGGATTCCTCCACCACACACGTATCGAATACGTGGATAATGCGCACAAAGCTAAACAACTACTCTTCTATTCTAGCAGAAAGCTCTTGAATTTTTGGAACATAAAACGAAAAGACATCCAAGCACGGTCACCGGCAATTAAGCAATAAAAGTGCGAAAGAAAAACTAAGTTCGGCAATAACAGACAGAAAATGAGGGTTAAGAAAATTTCACCATTCGGATAATCCGTAGCCAAACGTTTAAAAATAAAAAGGAGTAAGAATGCGGACCCACTTATGAACGAATAGACATTTGGTAACGGACCGTTTTCAAATGCGTCTAGAACTCGTACCATCCTGCCTAATTCGGCAGGAACAGCCTGAATTGGAAACATCTAAAAAAGTTTTTCATTATAGACATATCGTCGGCCTTCCTTAACTCACGAAATTTTTCAAAATGTGAACAAAACTATTTGACTACGGATAGATTTCACGGGTGCTATTAATCTTTGCTAGCACGACAGCTCGTTGGAATTGCTAAATTTCCCTCGGATTAGAAACCACATATGGAGCACATAGTGCAAGCCAACCTTGCACTCGCGGCTCATGTGTACAAGTTTTGCGATCGCCACTGTCACCGAGCAGTACTGAGACCGCTCGAGGCGCTGGAGTTGTGGTTGGATCACGAAGACCCTTCGACAAGACCCAATGATAGATCCAGACTTCGACTTATGTCTGAAATCGCCAATTATTTAACTTTAAAGTCATGCAAACTTCAAAAGATTCGTCCCCGGCGGACACACCATCATGACAAACTGCGGCTCCCATGTGTTGGTTCATGTACGCGTCGTTCATCGCACGCCAGCTGACCACATAATGAGAAATATCGCCATTCGGTTGTGCTGGTGGATCCCATTCCAACCTGCAAAGACAGCATTTCATCCAGCGGTGAAAATTTGATGGTCTATTAGTGATCTTGGACTCTATGTGATTGTTGTTCAAAACACTCAAACTGGAACATGGTTGAAGAGAATTCGACGATGTCACAACTTATTCCTTTCATGAAACAAACTTTGACTACTCAAACGGCGAAGAAGGCAATAATTATGAATAGTTTCCGTCAGAGGACACTCGCTTGCTCACTAAATAGACCCCCTATTAATCTTTGACACTGAAGGACTGGCGCAGATTCCGTGACGCAGAGCAGTCAATCGTTGGATTCGAAGCATGCTTGAGCTTCGACTCGGAGTAAAAATCAATCAAAACGTATCTTATAAGAATCTCTTAAAGAACACATTATGAAAGACGGAAGCCACTGAGTGAGCACGACACAGGTACGACGCTGCCCCTCCCCACCCCCCCCCTCCACCCGATAAAAAATTTATACGCTGATCAAGCAGCGCAAATACAAGCCAGCACGTACGGTTGTTGAGATTACTAATACTGCAAGTTAGCTACTCTTTGATACTCGCTTGTACGGTTCATACAGATGAGAAGCGAAATATCAATAGTTTTTGTTTTATTCAAAAAGGTGGTGGAGAAATTGTAGAGTTTTCAGAGAATGACATTTAAAATCATCAAAATAACAACATAGGTCACCACATTAAGCTTTCGGATGACATCAAAATCATCAAAAATAACCGACAAGGTCCATTAGTCAAGATAAACGGCGAATAATTTCGTAAACCAAGAATTAGCCCTACACCCAGTCAAATGTCCTCAAGTACAAATTCCTGCGTGGAAGACAAATCAAAGGCGCGTCCCTGACGACAAACGCGAGAAATTTTAGGTTCGTCATGCTCTTTAAACAATCACCAACCATTGCCTTTATGTTTCTGAACAACAGCTGCTTAATGTTGACACTTAAAATGACGACAACAATTGAATGGTCTCAACTCAGTGAAAGACTTTTTAGCAGGGGTAATGGTTGGGCGGAAAACTTTGTTCTGCTTCGACTCGGACAATTCTCAACAAATTTTATTGTTAAACCCGATTTTATTACCTTATGAGACTTTGCCGGATCACGTCACCGGGATTTTTACTACTTCTATAGAGAAAAGTTCAAAAAATCGGAAACGCGTTTTCAAAAAAGGGCGGCTCACAAAAGGTCTCGCTTTTTTCCCTGCATTATTCGCCAATATGCTGCTGGAAATGTTAAAATTCATTTTCAAGCGTCACTTGTTGGACCCCGTACGGCAATATCAAGGCATTATGCTCTCGTTTCCGATCATTATTCAAATGAATTACTCATCTAACTTTAAGTTTATAAGTAGTGGTACCCCATGTCCGAATACTTATATTGCCATCACTGAGACATGAAAAACGCTAATAAATCGAAGAGGGCGGTTTCCTTCCAGGTGGCCGCGCCATGCACGTGACACAGCGCGTAATCCAGGCAGGGTTAATAGCTTGAGATTTGGCCACGTACGCTGTGGGCGCTCAATTCCCAAAAGCCAACTTCCCTACTTGAAACGAGGTAATGCTTGCCTCGTCGTACTTTAAAAAGGATTGCAAAATAAAGTTAAAGGTCGAAGAAGGGTAAATATGTATATTTACTCGAAAGGCATGTGAGCCCCTAATGAAGCGGGACGATGCGCGTTTCGTAGCGAAGAGCACGCCCCTAGCGGCCTAACTGGGCCGTAGCAGCGCCGCTCGCATCTCTGCACGTTCGCGATAGAAAACCCTTAGTCGTCTAACTGTAGCCGTTCAACAGAGAGTGCGTTAGTACTGTAGAGGGCAGTACAGGTGAAACTCACATCAATGCTGGAATCAACGGGCAAAGAAGGAACCCCATTACTAGGGTTCTAGGCCGCTTTCTTGTCTATTCTTCGTCCGTGCATCATTTTCCATCTCTCCTCGATTTCTATTAAACTGTCTTTTCATCGTCAAGTCCGCTTTCTAAGCATCACCTGACCCCTTCTGAACGAACCTGATTCTGAGTGAAGGACAACTCGTCCAGTAGTTTAATATTAATCACCCAAAGAACAAGGAAGTGCGTTGCTAGACATGGAAAAAAGACAAACTCTTTCCAGTGCAACCCCTGCCTTTGAGATCTTTTGCACTTTGAGAGACAAAAGAATTCGATGCCCTGCACTTCGCAGCTAACTCGATACACTAAGTATCAGCCATCGAACGCTATTCATCACTGTCGGGCGAGACCACCCTGTTGGTCCGTTGATGTGTCGCATCTCCGCTGCTGGGCGCAGCTGGAAGCAGCATTCTCTGCAATTCATCGTCACTGGTGACTCGCAAATATCGCCGTTGAGAAGAATTCATTCGATCGAGGAAAAAGTGTTGCTGTTTGCAGACGCATTTCGCCGAACGCGTGCCTCTGCCTCTCGCGTTCTATGTAATCATATATCTAATCAGAGATTAGAGCCGCGAAAACAAACAACGTCGTCGTGAATACCCGACCGCTTTGCGGCAGTAAACGATGACAACGACGAGTATTCTACATCAATCTTCGGTCAAGCCACCCCTCCTTGACAAACTGTACCGAGGGTTTGACGTAATGAGCAGGGGGTAGATGATATTCCAAACAACATTTCGTTGAAGAAAAAAGTTCTTTGCAATTTTCAGGTGGTAAGCCCAGGAACCAGGATAGCGTGGCAAACAGGACTAATTCCCTTGCACGTGCCAATAAAGTCCATCTTCCGAAACGAAGTTCGATAAAAATGCAACCCATGAAAGGTGGACTAGAACAGGTAAATAAAACCCTTCCATGTCCGATTTCAACCCCGTATAGCAAAATGAATCGCACCACCGCAACAAACAATAACAAGTTCACAACTATACACCAGAAAATGAGAAAATGTTCAGTGAACCCTTTGGGAGCATATAATCGAGGCCTACGGTAGTACTAAGCACTTACAGAATTTCATCAATTCCTAGAGCTTCAGCTTTTGTTATCCGTGGAGGATCTGGAACTGCAAAACGGGTACGAACGAATGCAATGTTCGACACGGCATTCCGAGCACCCTGGTGGCGAACCATCTTAGTCGTGACGTAGGCAGCGTATCTGAAAGTTGAGGTTGTAAACAAAGAACCACTCAAAAAAGTTCTGTAAATCATTTGTGGCTCAACAGAGTTAGAGGAACCAAAGGACAAGCTAGCTCATTAAAATTCTGTAAAAATCAATGAATAAGCTGTCCCTCTATCACTGCTCTATAACAGTCACGCTTATTCGAAAAATAAAAAACCTCCCTTTTGCGAAAAAATAACTCAAAAATTTTAACTCACAAGGTGTGTGGCTTGATGTGACTATTTCCTATCATCGCCGTGACGTACTCGGGACCAGTACCGTTGATACGTTCGGTGTTATCATTCACCTTGAAACAAGAAGACGTTAGCTTTCTTTACGTTCTCCCAAATTTCGATTCATACCCCTTCGAAGTGATAGTACCACGAATCCGTGTCTTGGCAAGAAGATCTATCATCATCAATCGATAAATTCGGGTCCGCCCACGCGACTTCCTTATAGAGGATCTGAACAAAAAAACATGGTATACGATATTGCTAGCATGCTTTCATAGACAATTCGTGATAAGGAACTTTTATAGCTGGCGAGTATTAAGGGAACAGAAGGAACATAACTTTAAAGTCAGTAATTAACTAGAGACTCAACCACAAGAATGACTTGAGGCAATTTTTGATTCATTAGCAACTCACACGATCCCTTTTCTCAAACGTTCAAACTCTCCCCACATGGGAAGAAGCCTTTGTTTAATCTATTTCTATGGCTTCTCTCATCTTTCGCTCGCCAATCCTCTTACTGAGCGCCATGAGCATCAAGCGATTCTCCGCTCATTAGCGAACCATACGCTGGACTCTTGCCAAAAGCACTATCTCTAGCAGCTGGAAAAAATTGCCCACGCACGCTAGCCTAAACACTACATAAGGACAATTAACCAAGGAGATTCAATCACTTAAGTTCGAATATTAGTGTGTCCAAAAGACCTTAAGACTGTCCAAAATCTATGTTCAAACGTTTCAGCATTAGGAAACAAAAACTTAAACAATTAATACATTTACCATCAGTTCTCACACCATTTCCCCACTGATCAGGCAGTCGATGGATCACCTCTCCTCCAAAAAACACGTCTGGAGGTCTCGAACTCACAAATAGTCCCAAAATTCCTTGAAAACCCACGTAATTAGTTGCATTACAAAACGATACCCTACTCCATTAATGGTATGTAGGTGTTATGTTTTCCCGAACATTACAATCGCAGCGCAGAATTGATTAAATGCACCGCAAGCTGCAGCACGTGATTCTCATGAGCGTTTCCTATATAGAACACAACCTTCTCATTTTTCATATCACGCCACACACATTCCATTCTGCTTCTGGCGCCACTCGACTTTTCTGTGATGAATCAATCACATGCCTTCCTGGCGCCTCACAGACGATAACTCATGATAACGTCATTTAACAAGTGATTACTTGATATGATATGATGTATTTTATGGAAGAACAAATCAATTTCAACTAAAAAATTTGCACTCACATCATATCCGAGGAACTTCCTGTGGTCAATATCGGAAGTATTAAGGGCCGGCCATCGTAACGTAAACGCCGTTTGCGACACAGCGCTCTCCACAACAGTAAGATTGAAGGACGACTCCTCACCTTGAAAACAAGTAAACTGACATATTTAAAACCTCAGCCAAAAGCGGGCCTCTATCCCACGCGATGAAATGAACAAATTAAATCAACACTTCTGAGACTGCGCTACTGGCACTACGCCAATAATGAAACCTGGGCCCATGGAGGCCAGTTTTCGCAGAATTACCTTCACTTCAAAACAACAATCCCTATACTGCAACATTTAAAGCTTAGAATTACAGTCAATAGTTACCAGCTGATAATTTTGTTCTATTATAAACCCTCCCGGCGCCATTCGCTCCCTTTTTTGGCTTTGAGACTCCTAACGACGCTGTCAGCTGAGACTGGGAATAACTTCTCCGAAAACAAGCTTATCTAACGGCTTCTTATCGTCAGTAACAATCCGCTTACTTTGCATTCTGACGACAACAAAAGACGAAACTTCATCTCACAAATTAACTTACAAATTGCTTTGTCGCCGTTGCTGTAGTAGCTCAGGCTTTGATCCTCTTCAGACATCTCGTGCTCACGTCCCAATTTCACCATCAATTCCTTGATGCGGAAATAGCACAGCATACGATTGTTTTGAAACTAGAACCAACAAAGTATTACTGATAAAACTTGAAAAAACTTAATCCTTAGATCAGAGAACGTTCGAGTCCTTTCGCAACTCAAAAAAAATCACCTGTACTGAGCCAGTATCGATGACAAGCCGATTTTCAGGAGGGAACAACTTCTGTAGATTAGAGTTCTCGAAGATGCTCAGTGCGTATCTATAATACACGTAATTTCGACTCAGTCCTGACCATTAGTGAATCATTCGAAGATATTTCTTATTCGAAAACTGGTTCCTGTTGCAATTATCTGCACATGTGATGAAATAAACTACAAACTAGATAAAACAACCATGACAATTTCTTTTTCATCTGCACAGGAGAGATTCAAAAGCTAACCTGGTTATGATTCCATTTTTAGTGTACAAAACTATTGAGAGCCGCGCTAGTGCAAAAATTCAAACTGGTGCAGTAAACTCATTCGACATTTCACAAAAGAAAGAACCCCATATACCTCCAGGCCCATGCAAAAAATCTCGCTGACCGTAAAAAATGCAATGTAATCGAAAACATGTCCTTGACATAAGTCTTTCCATCAACAATTACGACTTTACCAGGAGGCAAGGCTCCCCTGCATGCAGAAGATCGGTGCTATTTTGTGTAAGGGATAACTTCAAAATGGACATTCCCGTTGAAAAGAGTGATGTCAAGAGGTGGAAGACAACCACGATACAAGTGCGCGAAAATGTGTTACTCCAAGGTAGCCGCCATAAATACTGGGACGTTGTTATCAGTCATTCTGCAGCCGTATCCGATGGCTTACTACTGTATTAAGTCTATGTGCGAAGTTTACTCACTTGTCACGATAGAGAGAACGACCAGTAATGCGAGTAAGACTGCGAAACATGTGCAAATTCACGAATGATGGCGACAGTCGAACAACGAAATACCTGAAAAATATCAACGTAAAGGACAAAATAACCTAAAACTTACCATGGAGCAACTATTACAGAAAAAAGAGGATATACAAAAGTAGAAATATTAGCAAAATCTTTTCAAAATGCCTCGGAAACGATTACCCGTCAATGGTTGTGATCTTTCCAAAAACATCGGTAAGTTGAGAGGCTGCAACAGCGCTCATACCAACACGCATTTCAACTTCGAGATATCCCTCGATTACGCTGCATTGTTTCAGTTGCATTGCCTGTAAATTCAACTGCATTAAAACAAATTCCAAAGCTTCTTACTTTCATGATGGAAGTCCCTCATGAGCAGAGAAGATCTGATTGTTATGAACATAACAACCATTAGGTGTAACGTTACAAAACATCCAAAAAGCGGATTAAAAACATCCAGCGACGAAAACTAAAACACAAAGGGCAACTGCTCGTAAAAACTTGCTGCAAACGTGATATGCATGTAAACAAGAATTTCAGAAGTACCTTTGACATACTGTCGACAGTTATGTTTCCAGGACATTTTCGCACACATTCACCAGCGCATTTTCGGCAACGTTTCTTATTCGACGGATCTGGAACACAACTCCATTTTGTAGGTGACCAATAGACGCATAAACGATGGACTTCACCTTCTTCCAGTCCCTCGGGGCAAATCGTTGCACAAACTCCATTAGCTGGCTTGTAAACATCTTTGCCTCCTCTGACTGCTGCTATCCTGTAGTACACGAATATTAACATTATATTATATTTAACCTTTTGAAGAAACAGCATAAAATGGCATCTTCAAAAATCCAACCAATTACCCATAAAATAACACCCTAATCATAATTAAATTGATTCCACAAATAACTCTCAATGCGAAATGGCAACATTTTGAAAATTATTGTTCAAAAGGCAAAACTATTATGAGTACTCAATAAGTACAGCCCAAATCTAACGACACAAAAACTTACGAATCGCATTCCGCTTCCGTGATACATCGCCGGTTCAAGTATACGAACAGATTCCCAGGACATTTCTCAACACAAGCGCCCTATAAACGATCTGGTTCCTTCGTAACATTCGAGAAAAAAAAACAACAATAAAAAACGAATAACAGTCACAACGACTCACATTGTGGTTGTAGTGTAAACATCCGTAGCATGCTGTGTCATCATCCGGCACTGTACATCCGGCGACACACTGTGCATGACACTTGGCGCCATTGGAATCCGCGCATCCTGGTCCAACGCTGCCATTGATCCGATCGTACGGGCAATCTGAAGGATAAGTTAAACATCTAATCCTGTTACTTTTAGGTTGGTGCATGGCAGCGCTTGTATTCGGCAAAAACTCTCAAACAATTCATAACTGATAAAAAATGAATAGTGATGTTCACTTTGCAATTATACGAATTCGCTTCTCTTTCGAAAAAATCACCGGATTTCAAATTTTAAGATAAATAGCCGTTTTCAAAGTCCCTATTATCTTCAATTTGTACGGCGTCAATATAGTGTGAAATTGAGAAAATAAGGGTCGGTTAGGGGAAGGGATATGATTATGATGAACCTTCATATTGGTAGCTTATGCCTTTGTAAAAACCAAAGATTAGCAGCTGTTGAAAGATTGAAAGATCCTGCACCGCTTTTTGGAGGTAGGATCTTCCAAATCCCAAGCACTCTACAAGAATCAACTTATAATATTGGAAAAATGAGACATAATTACTGCGTGGCACAAAAAGCATTTCCGATTCCATAGATAGTTTTTCAAACAAAAACGCACTGAGAAAATCAGATGCAAGAAAGAAAAAGATATAACAACTTGTTACATTGCATAAGCATCTAATTAAGAATATGGTATTAAGAATATGGTATTTGCAATAAAAAAAACGGTATAGGACACTGAGTGCGAAAAATAATCATGGAGAACAACTTACCCTCTTGACAGGTGTGTTTATTCCAGCAAGACAACCGCTCTCCACGGGCGTGTACAACACGTCGACATTTCGATTCATCCTCCACGTCGCAATCATCAGTACAAGATACTGAAATACAACAACAAATTCGTTCAGGGCTCAAGACCTCTAACGACACTTGCTCGCACGTACGCATTTGATAGTCCGGCTTGCCGATACTGACAGCAAGCCGTTAAACTGGAAACTTACTGACAGCATTTTCTATTTTGTTTCCTTTTATACTGCTATTTTTGCCGTAGTTTCCGATGCAAATGTTATCAGAAGGATGGTGAGTTATGGGCGGAACCTTCGGCTTCGGAAGGAAATCGAGCCTACATTTGAAACAGATGCAGCATCCTTACGATAGTATTTCCCTTACGAATTGCAAAAATAGCAGTGTAAAAGGAAACAAAATAGAAAATGCTGTAAGTTTCCAGTTTAACGGCTTGCTGCCAGTATCGGCGAGCCGGACTATCAAATGCGTACGTGCGAGCACTGACGGTTGGTTAATGTACCATGAAAAAGCAACAAAGGCGCCAAGTCTCAAGTTAATGATTTAATATGGTACGTGAAAAGCATGGCTTTAAGTCCGACCATGGGTAAACGTACAGTGCCTCTAGCAACCCTGCATCACGGCAGATGCTCAGAGTTTGTAGGCTATACTTGAAACTTACTCTATTCGTTCCAGCCCATGAAGCCAAACTCATGAAGTGGGGTGGAAGCGGTTATGACAGACTTTGGAATCTTAGACATCGCACTGTAATCCCTGTTTCTTTTTTCAATAGAACTAACACACCAATCGTACCGTTACTCTTTAAACATCTTGAACTCGTAGCGGAACTACCCCTTCTCCTACGTATATATTCGCCTCCACAGGTTGGTGTGTTAAGTAGACTATTCCGGACTAGAAACGATGAACTGTTGTGCCGAAAGGAACAACCACTCAAATGAGAAGCCGAGCAAGGCGGGTGAACATAAAGGGAAGGAGGTGTTTTC